TAAATGATTCAAGGGTCGGAATTTTAGAGAATTTTGAATTTAATAATTATTCATTAACATTTTGCATTTTGTCAAAGTAATTTTCACAAAATATCAAGCATAAAGCCAGAATTAGATTAGTTGCTCACTGTGATTAAATAATTTATCTATTGATCCATTGAACCTGCTATAGTTTTTTATCAAATCTTTTTTAATTGTTACCAACATTATAATCCTTTAAAGGCCATTAATGTTTTCCATTAGAGCATTAAATGTTTATGAATTGGGTTAAAATAAGTTCTTTTAATTAGTTTAAACCAAATAAGTGGTGCTCCACGTATACAAATTCTATCTCCACGCTGGAACTAACTGTTAAAGAAAAATTATTGTGCTCCAATGCACTACTAAATCATGCAATAGAGTTGTAGCGGATTGCTACTTTATTAAAGCCTGACTGACTCAGGAATCTCTATGGCAGATCCTCCTACATCTAGCTAGACTCCCAGAACCAGCTAAGCTCTAGCCCAGCTATAAAGGAAACAGACGTGTAGCACGGAGCACGTTTATTCAATGGGTATACTGCGGATCAAGTGTACACGCATGGAGCTACTCATGATCAGGATGGGGATTAGGTTAAACAGAGGTTGATGATTGGTCACTGATAACATGTCCCACAGAGTTTTATAAAGTGTAAATAATGCTAATCAATATCCTAATTTTGCTTAAGAAATCATTCCGATTGCTTTCCAAAGTACAGACATTAGAACTAAAATGACAACTATTCATTGCCCAAACAATCTGCTGAATATTCTTCAATTGTATTAATTTCTCCAAGATCCAGAAGCAGCTTAAAATCTGTGCTAACTAGCTTGAAATGAAGTCGTGGTTGTCCCAGAAGAAAAACTTTGGCTATTAGTTGCTGAAAATGGATGACTTAGATGGATCATTCACCAAAGAACAATTCCAATTTGATGGAACTGTCTTAACCCTCTCAAAGTTGCTCGGATAAAATTCTTCTGAAGTTTGAAAGAGTTTAAATGTCTTCTGTCACCAAAGAGTATATTAAAGTTTAGATAACTTTTTTTTCCTATATGATAACTAGATTTTAGCTCAACATTTTGAAACATCATTTAAAATATATGCTTTTGTGTGTTCTACAGAAACTTTGTCTAGTAGAAGTCTGTTGTCAAAACTTTCGAGTCGTCAAAGAATGTGATACGGTCACAGCAAAGGATCTTGACGATGAATGTACGAATGAAGGACGCGTTTGCTAAAGTTTAGTGACTTCAGTTAATTGAAATGGAAGTCTAAGCAACTGTGTCCTAAATCGTTTCCTTCCTCTGTGTACACAATTAAGTGAACACCGGCTCCGTTATGACTTGCGATTCTCTCGATTTCACCCATATATATATCCAAACAGCAAACGAGGACATAAGAACGCCATTTGCCCTTTGTGTTTTTAGCTAAGGTTTCATTAGCGATGTAACGAACACACTCAGTCATATTCAGAGGTAGCAATTTCCTTGAACTTTCCCACTCCATTTCATTTCATTGGACAAACGGTAGAAATGCTTTCCCGCAGAGCACCTGTGGTGTTTCTTACCCTAACAATGATCTTATGTAGAGACAAATAAAAACATTCCGAACCCCCTTGAATAAACAGGTCGTATGCGACCCATGACCGTTTTCTATTACCAGAGTTTGCATTATTAGACTTTGATTTCTTTACTTGTGTGTTGTCTAATGCATAGACAACTACAAAGAGCTTAAATTGATCATAACTTGTGTCTCTTGTATTACTTCGAACTGGTAGAAAAAATAATAAATTTGGCTTGCAAATGCTCCTCTTATTAATATTCATATAAAATCGTATGGATTTTATTCAGCTAAACAGGTGGCGCAGAACTTTCAATTCACCTCATGTCATGCCTTCTCTCTAATTCCTTGCCTTATTCCTACATGCCCACGTTACTCACCTTCAGTTTGTGGAAAGGATGTCGTATCGTGTTATTTTTTTGGAAAGGTAATTTGTTTTGAACAAAAAAACATATTCAAACAACATTTAGATATTCAATTCATTTTGTCAGCAATACCACTTGATGCTTCTGCACATTTAGAATTTGATGACAAGCGGGAAAACAAAAGAAGGTAAGCAGCAA